CCTCCACCGCGACCCTCGTGACCTCAGACGTGACAGGTTGAGTAAAAGAAAAAGCAAGCTGTGAGCCATTGCTGTACCTGGCCCGGCTCGCACTGCTTGAAATTGCTCATGGTTCGGAGGTGCTTCAGGCCAATCTGGGACCTGGCCGATATATTGCACTCAACGTACCTACACTCACCAAGCCTCGCGCAAACCCGAAACGAGTGGGTGTCCACCAGTGCAGGCCTAGACGGGGGAGGGGGTCGCGACAGCTCGGGCCACTCATCCTTCCGACAACACATGATCTCCAGCACCCGACGGCCCGCCCAATCCAGGTACTTAGCATACTGCCGAGCCTCCTTCAGGGCCCGCTTATGTCAGACGCCGCTCTTCCACGGGCATCGACTTCTGCGAAATAAGGAGCCCAGGCATTGCCGACCACTTGCAGACAAGGAACCCCCGCGCCCGGGCCCCGCAAGGACCGCTTCCTGGAAATGGGCGTGTGCGGGACACCGGGAGAACGTGGGCAGCTCGGGCGGTACAGTGGGGGCCCATGCCAAGCAACATCCTGCTTGCCTCCCGGGTGCCCTGGGTCTCTTGGGCTTCGATGGCTTTGACATGGAATGCGCGACGTCCCCACGCTGAAAATCAAGGGACGTCCTGGGGTCTCAGAGTTGGGAATCTTGTGGAAGGTTTCTTGTGGACTCAGGGGCAACGATAGGGGCGGGATAGGCATCAGGGGGGGATGCATCGACCCCCAACCGCCCATTGATCGCCGATAGTGGGCCGACAGCCCCAGCCTGCCCAGGAAGGTGCGGATTCACTACCGGAGGCCTATCGCCGATCTATCGGCGATGCATCGCCGGTTCCAGGTCGGTGCATCCCCCCCTGTGCCTATCCCCCCTATCGTTGCCCCTGAAAATATGTACTATAACCCCCGAACCCCGAACTTCATTATCCCTGGGGGATGTATCGCCGGTTCCAGGTCGGTGCATCCCCCCCTTGGGCCAGTCCCCCCCTGACCGTTGCCCCTCATGGTCGGGCCTCCACTACAGCCGGGGCCCTGGAGAAGGAACCCTTCTCGTCGGGGAGGGGCTCCGCGTTCCTCAAGTGTTTCACAGCTTGCCTCAGGTTTTCCTTATGTTTTCGATCGCAAGTCGAAGTTTAACTTATGGAAAACAAGGGGCCTCGTTCCTTATTTTGGGTTCCTTAGGTCAACGCCCCCGACTGTACCCCTCATGGTCGGGCCTCCACTCTGGTCCCTGGACAGCGGCACAGGCCCTGCGCCGCGCGGCTGCGGGCCTGCCCGTCTCAGGCCAGCGCCGGCCTCTCGGAGCCCGCCCCCCTTGGCCCCCTCCCTGTGCCTCGGGCAGAACGGGGCCAGAGAGGGCACGGAGCTCGGACACGTGCTCGAGGGCTCGGCTGACATCGGAGGAGGAAGGGGTGCCCATACCCCTGCCCTGCCCTCGTCTGCCCCCTTGTCGGGCCTCCCGGAAGGCCCTCGTCGCCACCGCGGGATTTGCCTCGAGATCCCGGTCAGAACGCACCCCAGGAGAGGTCTGGGTAGCAGCGGTATCGGTACCTTTTGGTATCCCCATGGACGGCCAGCCGTCTAGCAACTCCAACCTTCTGGGGCGCCCCGGGGGCTCCCCCGAGAACCGCGCGCAACGGCACACGACTCTCGGATATCTGAGCGGCTGACCGAGTCTGACCAGATGTACCTCACCATGTCTGCCGATCCAGGCTCCTGGACAGGCACGGGGCCGCCTACGCAGGCGAGGAGGGGGGGAGGAGGAAGGAGGAAGGAGGGAGGGACGGAGGGAGGAGGGAGGAGGGAGGAGGAAGGAGGGAAGAGGGATGAGGGAGGGAGGGGGGAAGGGACTGAAGGAGACAGTGGGGAGGGAAGGAGGGAGGGACGAGGAGGAGGAGGAGGAGGAAGAGGAGGACGATGAGGAGACGCAGGACGAGGAGGAGGAGGATGAGGAGGAGGAGGCTCGGGACTTGCCTTGGCGCCTCTCAGAGGCCGTCGTCTTTACCGCCTTTATTTTTTCCACGCTGGCGTTCTTTCTGAAGTGGCGCTACCCTCTGACCACGGACGATCAGCTCAAGCAGCTCAGACTAGGGCTGCAGGCGCACCAGCAGGGCGACGAGTACCCAGATCCAGTCACTGGGACCCCGTACAAGGATCAACCGCATGCTTCTCTTAGCATCTGCAGAGCGCAGGTCGCTGTCTGCGTACGGGCGGGTGCGGCTGCGAGTTCTGACAGTTCTGTCTTGTCCACATGGCGGTGCGCGCGGCGGGCACCCGCGCGGAAACGATCGGGCGCGCGAGCCCTTCGGCCGGGCGGCAGACACGGACCGGAGGGCGCAGAGGATGGCGGTCGGCGTGGTGTGCAAAAACATTCCCGGGACAATCCTTGTCTTGGGTAAGCAGATCGGATGGACAGCGACGCTGGGCACCCGCCAATGCGGCAGCATGCATGCATGAGTCGTTCTTCGAGAAACGACGAGGTCTGCCAGCGTGCGCCCCAGCCAGGGAGACGTCGTACCGTCGATCTCTGAGGTATGTGATGTGATCTATGCGATGTGATCTGTGCGGTGTGAGCTGTGTGGTGTACTCTATGTGGTGCAATTAATTTGCTGAACTTGAAGTTGTCTTCTCCACTGCTCGCGCAAACATCCCACCCACCCACCCGCAACTTGGTTTGCAAAACCTATTAAGACCGACTACGACGACACCGACGACAACGACTAGGACGACACCGACGACGTCTCCGACGACTTCGACGACGACAGCGACGCCGACGCCGACGACGACGAAGACGACGACGACGACGCCAACGAAGGCGACGACGAGGAAGGAGGAAGGACGACGACGGCGACAACGACGACAACGACGAAGGAGGAGGGAGGACGGTGACGATGCGAACGACGACGAAGGAGGAAGGACGGCGATCCGACGACGACAACGACGAGGGAGGAGGGAAGACGACGACGACAACGACGACGACGACGGCGACGACATAGGAGGGACGACGATGAGACGCCGACGACGGACGACGACGACGACGTGGGAGGAGGAGGAAGGACGACCACGGCGACAACGACGATGGAAACGACCACGACGCCAAAGAGGACGACGACGACAAACGCCAAAGAGGACGACGTGACAGAGGACGACGTAGGCGACGACGACGACGACGCGGGAGGAGGGAGGACGGCGACGACGACGACGACGACGCAAGAGCGCGCGCGCACGCTTTTGTTGAAAATCCGTGTTGCGAAACCTTGGGTTCTTGTAGGTTTTTTGGACGCACGATTTTGAAATCCTTCCGACACCGATAGGTTTCGAAGGTTTTCGGCATACGTCCGCGACGACGCGCGCGTCTGCACTTCGTCCTGTTTTTTGCAGAGGATTCTCGCGACGGCACACGCGCAAGGGCGTTCGACAGATTTCGACATGCGCGCGCGCGAAGCCCGTTTGGTAGCATTTTGTGAAAATCTTGAAAAAAACATGCGGTTTGCTTAAGATTTCGCAAGAGCTCGCGCGGAAGTTTTTTAGCAAACCAGTGTTGCGAAACCATGTGTTTTTGTATGTTTTTCGGAGACTCGATTGCGAAATCCTTCCGGCACCGAAGGTTTTTGAAGGATTTCGGCATGCGCGCGCGACGACGCGCGCGTGTGCACTTCGTCCCGTTTTTTGCAAGGGATTCGTGACAAAGTGTTATGTTAGAAAGAAAAATGTCCCCGCATAGTGTTATTTGACAGGGAACCGCAGGGGGGGGGAACCCGGCTTGGCTGCGATGGTATGGATTCATATTTAGGATGGACATGTGGTCAGAATCATATATGATTTACAGCACGCGCGGGGTAACCGATAAGTCCGGGGGGGGGGTAGAATATATTAGTCTTTTAGAAAGGAGAATATAGGTGGCGCAGTTTATGTGGTGTGAGCTACGTGGCGTAATACATCTGGTGCAATCTAGGAGGCGCGATTGATTTTAACAAACGTATTGACACGTTCCATCCTTTTGCAAACATCCCACCCACCCACCCGCAACTTGGTTTGCAAAACGCATGCGGAGGCGATTGCGATGCATGCTTGGCGTTGGCTGGTCCATCTCTGCGGCCGTGCCACCCCATGCACGCGCGCGCAGCAGCCAGCTAGTTTGGCGAGGCCGCCGCGGTCTCGGTGGCGTTGGTCGCTGGGCACATCCCAGCGGGCACTTCAGTGCGAGTCGGCGACGTGGGCGGGCGCGGTATCATGGCAACGTCGACACCTGTAGACACGATGATGATAGTAGCGATGTTGGTGACGATGTTGACAGCGACGACGGGGCAGCCAGTGACGGCGCCGATGCTGATTACGCCGGCGACGATGACGCCATGTTCGCGTCGGTGATGCAGGTTTCGGAAAAAGTTCGACATGCGCGCGCGGCCGACGCGCGAGAGTGGCCCGCATGGTATTAGTTGACACGGATCGTGCCTGCGGCCTGCGGCGCCAGAGGCCCGTTTGGTAGGATTCCGTGAACATGTTGAACAAGCGATGATTTTCTTACGAATTCGCTAGAGCGCTAGTTGACGTTTTCGTTTTTGTTGTTTCGCAACACGTATTTGCCATCGTTGCAAAACCCGCAAGCTTTTAGTTTTTGACGGATGTTTGCATGCGCGCGCATGACGCGCGCGTGTGCGTTTCGTTTTTTTTTTTTTTTTTGTTTGGGGGGGGTGTTTTGTCCTTCGATGGATTCTCGCGGCGGCACGCGCGCAAGGGCGTCCGAACGATTTCGAGATGCGCGCGCGCGCGAAGTCCGTTTGGTAACATGTTTCTGATACGGATGAAGAACCCATGGTTTCCTCGAGAATTCGCAAGAGCGCGTGCGCACGCTTTTTGTTAGAAATCCGTGTTGCGAATCTTTGTGGTTTTCCAATGTTTTTTGCGCACTCGATTCTGACATCTTTATGCCACCGCAGGTTTTTGAAGGATTTCGGCACGCGCGTGCGACAGCGCGCGCCTGTGCGCTTCGCATGGTTTTTTTGGGGTGACAGAATTATTAACAACTGAGGATTTTTGATTCACGCGTGTGCGCGCATAGGATTTGTTGCAGGGGATGGCGGGGGGGGGGGCGGATATCGCTCCCCCGTGGGATGGTGTGAATTCATATTAACGATGGACGAAGGGGCAGAATCGTATGTAAATTGCAATACGAAAAAAGTGAGCCCATAGTCCAGGGGGCGAGGGGGTAGAGATTTGTTTTTTTCGTTAATTAGTGTGTGTGTGTGTGGATTTTAACATATATTTTTTTTTATATATATATATATATACATCTGGTGCGTTTTTTTTTTTGTTGTGTGTGTATATATGTATGTTTCAAAAACAACCGAGTTGACACATCCCGTGCTCTTGCAAACATCCCGCCCACTTGCCAGCACCTTGGTTTGTTGCAAAACGCATGCGGTGGCGGTTGCGATGCATGCTTGGTGCTGGTTGGTGCATCTCTGCGGCCGCGCCAACCCATGCACGCGCGCGCAGTGGCCAGCTAGTTTGGCGCGACCGACGCGAACGGTGTGGCGCTGACCGCACGGCACATCCCAGCGGGCACTTCAGTGCGAGTCGTCGACTCGGGCGGGCGTGGTATCATGGCAACGTCGACGCTTGTAGACACGATGATGATAGTAGCGATGCTGGTGGCGATGCTGACAGCGACGACGGGGCAGCCAGTGACGGCGCCCATGCTGATTACGCCGGCGACGATGGCGCCGTCTTCGCGTCGGTGATGAAGGTTTTGGGGAGAGTTCGAAAGGCGCGCGCACGGCAGACGCGCGAGAGTTGCCTGCATGGTATTATTTGACGGATCGTACCACCACAGCACACCCGCAACGGCGTTCGAACGATTTTGACATGCGCGCGCGAAACCCGTTCGGTAGCATGTTATAAGAGTATCGAAAGCTGCCAAAACTATTTGAAATCACAAATCGCCAAGAGCGCGCAAGTTTTTTTTGTAGACGCCGAAGGTTTTGGGTGATTTCGGCACGCGCGCGCGACAGTGCGCGCGTGTGAACTTCGACATGTTGATTGGCAGGCGATTTCTGAAATCTGTTGGTTTTTGATTTACGAGTGTGTGCGCGTATGATCCTTTTGCAGGGGATGGCGGGCGTGGCGGCGGATACCTGCTCTCCTGGGATCGTGTGAATTCGCTTGTAAGATGGACGAGGGGACATCATCGTATGTAAGTTTGATGCGACGAAAGGGGACAGGGGTCGATAATCTGGGGTGGTTGGGTAGAATCTATTGTCTTTTTTAAATCCATGTATTGCGATCTATGTGGTGCAAGCTATGTATTGCACTTGAAAGCCGGCATTCTGTGCAGTGCAATCTATATGGTGTGAAGTGAGTGGCGTCAGCTACATGGTGCAGTGTATGTGGTGCGAGTTATGATGCGTGATCTATGCTGTGTAAGCTATGTGGTGCAATATATCTAATGGCCTTCGGCTCATTTCGCCACCGTGCTTGGGTTGTGGGTCAGAGTTCTCAGGTCTGCTTCTGGGGATCTTTTCGGAACGCTCTCTGGGGCTTCCGGGGGGCCTCTTAGGGGCCTTTTGGGGGCTTGTTGTTGGTGCCTCTCTGGGGCCTCTTGGGGCCTCCTGAGGGCCCCTCGGGGCTGAGGGCTCGACATATCCCATCGGGACCCCCTCTTGGAGCTGTCTTTGGGGCCTCTTGGGCGGTCTTGGGCGCCTCGGGGGCCGTCTTGAGGCCCTCTTGGGCCGTTTTGGGGTCCTCTTGGTGGCCTCTTGGGCCGTTTTGGAACGATTTTTGGGGATTCTTGGGTCGTCTGGGAGCGTCGGGAAGCCGTCAAGGCGAGAATGCCCCAAAACATCAAAAACCCTAGGGCACTCAATGATTTTGGTCTCCTGGAACCCTCTTGGGAGGCCTCTTGGGAGGCCTCTTGGGGCGTCTTGGAGGCCTCTGGGGCAGTTTGGCGGCCATCTTGAGCGTCTTGGATCGATCGTTCGGCAACTCGGGGCCCTCTTGGACGGCTTTCGGGGCCTCTTGGGGCCCTCCTGGCCCATCTTGGTGCCCTCGGGGCCATCTGGGGCCCCAAACCTCCGGGCCATCTGGGGCCCCTCAAAAAGGCACGCGACAAGCCGCCCGGGAGCACCAGCAGGGCACGCGCCAAGCCCAAGGAGATTCGTGAATCTGGGGTCCAGGCCCCCCAGAACCTTCGGATCGAGGACTGAGGCTCATGGGATTGGGCAGAGGACCCGAGGGCACGCCCCCTCCGTGCCCAGCGACACGGTGGCGGATGTGTGGCACGAGCTATGCGGTGTAAGCTACGTGGTGCTATTGACTACCCTGCACCGCGCTTGTCCGCTCCACTGCTCGCGGAGACATCCCACCCACCCACCCGCCTCTTAATACCGTGACGGTGGGGACCAAATGGCACTTGGCAGCGACAGCTATGTGGTGCAATCTATGTGATGCAATCTTTGTGGTGCCACCTATGCGGTGTAAGCTATGTGGTGCAGCCTATGTGATGTGAGCCATGTGCTGTGCGCACGGGGCCCCCACCAGGCGGCCCCTGGCGGCAGCGTGGCGAGACCTCGCCGGACCCATCCAGCGCACGAGGCGGCCACGAGGCGGCCACGAGGCGGCGGCGTGCAGCGACGCGGCGAAACCTCGCCGGACGCACCCAGCGCACGAGGCGGCCACGAGGCGGCCACGTGCGACAACGTGGCGAAATCTCGCGGGTCGCGCCCGGCGCACGAGGCGGCCACGAGGCGGGCACAGGTGACAACGTAGAATGTTCTCGCCGGACCCCACCAACCCCTTGGTAAGCGAAGGCACCTGTGAGTGCAAGCGCTGTCGGGGGAGCCATGACTAGCACAGAGCATTGAACATCGTTGTTAGAGGTCGGAACGTGTGTTCCAGCTTCGGGTGGGAACCTGGGTGGTGATACCAAACGACTTTTCGCATTGCGGAGTCTTGCACCCGCAAGATCCCATTCATGTTTGAAGGGAGCCCGCATTCGGTGTTTATAGGTTCTTCTACCATGCCCGTGCGTGGAGGCTGATCCGTTTGTTTCGGATGGGGCCTGGACCTCCGGGAACGTTGAATAGTGAAGGTTGGCCTTTGTGCGAAGTAATGGTTGTTGGCTGCAGATTTGCCCTCAAATAATGCTCTCCAGCCCATGTCGGTAGATAGTGACCTGCAGAAGACCTACCAGCTGCTGGACCATTTTCGCCGATGGCGTTTGTACTCCAAGTTCGTCTTCAGGAAAGAGGGTGACATAGGCGCTGAGATAGAGGACCCGATGATGATGCCCAGCTCGGAGTCAAAGCAGCTTGAGCGGCTCATCCAGCCCGTCCCGGGTGCGCACAGGAACTTGCAGGAGACGTCTCCCTTGCGGCTCGGCTTGGCAGCTTCTCGTCACTGCAGAGGCCACTTCGACGGGCGAGCGCAATTTACACACTTTGTCCCTAGGTCCACAGGTCTCCAGGTCAGGGCTGCACTAGCAGCAGTGGTGTTTTGCCACTTCGTGTGGCCCTTTGGGTGCTGGCAAGCGCAGGAGAGGCTCCGATGGAGGCCTGGGCCTGGGTTCTCAGTCCAGGGGAAAAGAGACATTTGGTTTGTGTGTCTAATCTGGTTTAAAATCTCGGGGGCGTCCAGGAGCGGGGTTAGGGCTATGGGGGGGGGAATATTATGGCTGGTGCCATGATGTCGCCCAGATTTTATGACTCTCTCTGCTTCTTTCGAAACGTCCCATGGTCCCACTCGTCCGCTCACACGCCGCGGGCCATGATTTACTGCCCCCCCCTCTTCCGCACCACCCTGCTGGACGCCACTGAGACTGCAGAGAGGCAGCAGGTTCCTTGCTTTCGCATGCGGTTGCTTCAAGCAGTGTGTTTGCATGTGCTGGGGGAGCCCCGTTGCCCACTTGTTTTTCTCATGCGGCCTCTGGCGAGCGCGTCGGCATCTGGACTGCGTGGAAGGCTGGGAAGCGAATCGGGAGCGTGAGCAGATTACTCTCTGTGGGGGCCTGCACGGCACGGATTTCGCAGAGCGAGAGAGAGAGAGAGAGAGAGAAAGAGAGAGAGAGAAGGAGAAAGAGAGAAGGGTGAAGGAGGCAGGGGAGGGGTAGGAGCGGGGGAGGCGGAGGAGGAGCAGGACCAAGAAGGGAGGGATGGGGAGGCTGCTTGCCCGTCCTCGCTCGCTGACCAGCTTCGGGCCGTATAGCGCAGAGCGTGCCGAAGAACAGGGGAGGGTGACGACGCTCAGGGCGAAGCCCAAGGAGTTTTTTTTTGTTTTTTTTTTTTTCTTTTTTATCTTCCGCACCTCGCGAGCACCTCGCGAGAAGGTGTGCGGCCGGCTCGCCCTCGGCCCCCGTGCCAGTGCAGCGCGGCCGGCCGCGAGCCAGATCGATGGAGCTGTCGGCCTCTTCGCTGCCGGCTCGAGCAGGCTCGGCGTTGCTTCGCCGACCCCGGTGCCCCCCCCCCATCCCCACCCCCAGTCATCCACACCAGCACACCCCCTCGGCCGCGCGCAGAGGGGGGGGGGGAACGGCTTCTCAGAGGCACCCCTGTGCTCCCTTGGAGGCGCGGGCCTGCTCTGCAGATGTCAGGCCGGCGCCCCCCACCAAGAAGCGCCCTCCCTCTGAGAGAGCCGCTCGCGCCCGCCCCGCCCACGAGGCGCGCGCCCCTGGGTCGCCGGAGGCGCGCTCGAGGGCCCAGTCTTCGGGGGGGGCCCCGAGGGGGGCTCGGGCCCCTCGTCCTTTTCAGAGGCCAGCAACATATGTACGCGTACGCGGTTAGCTTCCCCTGGAGGGCGTTTGAACGAGGACGTTCGTGCACTCAAGACCGCGGAGGGCGTACATGTACATGTGTCGCTGCTCGCTCACCTTTTCTCTCTCCCCCGAGCGCTGGCTGAGAGGCGGCGAAGAGTGGCGGGCCCTCGCGAGGTCCGGAGCGCCACCCTCTCCCAGCCGGCCTCTGAGGGTGCGGAGCGCGCCAACAGCGGAGCCCAGCGCTGAAAAAAACAGCCCCCCCCTTAGGTGCGCACCGCCGGCCCCCGCCCTCTCTCAGCAGCCCTGCTGGCACGAGGCGTCCCTTGCGTCCGGCGGCGAGCCCCGGGGGGGAGGCGGGGAGGCGGAGGAGGAGGAGGAGGAGCAGGAGGAGGAGGAGGAGGAGGAGGAGGAGGAGGAGGAGGCGGAGGAGGAGGCGGAGGAGGCGGAGGAGGAGCAGGAGGAGGAGGAGGGAGGAGGAGGAGGAGGAGGAGGAGGAGGAGGAGGAGAGGAGGAGGAGGAGGAGGGAGGCCTTCTCCCAGAAGGGCCTCCGAGCAGCCCCGCCGCCCTCCGAGGAGGCGGCCTTCTCCTCCTCGCTTCCCCCCCCTCCGCTCGGGGGCGGCGGAGAGGGAGGGTGATGACTAGGGGGGTTATGAAAGGCAATGCCTGCTACAGCCACAGGTCCCCCAGAAAGGCCAAAGTACCTCCCAAAGTAGGTTTCGGAATAGGAATAGAAGTACCCACCGAGCCCAACAAGTACCTCCCAAAGTAGCCCCCAAAGTACCTTCAAAAAAACAAAAAGTAACTCCCGACAGGTTGTTGGCATGCTACAAGTAGTCGAATGATTTTTCGGTCGTTCGTGCATCGGTCTTCATATTGTTCGCACATCATTTCTTATTGTTCGTTACACATGCCTTTACTTATTTCATGTTTCCAGCGACCCTTGAGGTTGCGTACTTCCCCCTCCAGGTTCTTAGGGCGCCAGAGAATATTGGGAACCGAATTTAGTTTTCAAGCCTGACAGGCCCCGCTGGGGCGGCGGATCGCACCGCATATGTGTCACGATGTATATTGCAGTTCGTAGTTCATGCCCCGCGTGTTGGCCACGTAGTTTACCCCACTTAGCTTGGGCACCGTCGGTTGCACCACATAGTTGCCTTTTGGATGATGTTCTCATCGTGCGATGCGCTATGGTTGCGCCTCAGAGCTACCGCCACGTAGATGGCCCCGCTTGCTCCACCACATAGCTTGCACCACATAGCTTGCACCACATAGCTTGCACCCCCCTCCCCCGCCCGTGCTCTCCAGCCATTTTGGCTTCCAGCCCCACCCCTTCGCCATGAGCGGGGGTGGGGTAGGGTGGGCCTCCGTGGCGGAGGCCGCGGCCGAGGCCGCCGATGGCGGCGCCTCGGGCTGGGCTGCCGCCGCCGCAGCCGCCGAGGCGGCCGCCGCCAGCCCGCCCGACGGCTGGGGCGCGCTGGCGGCCAGCGCCGCGGCGTCGGCGGAGAGCGCCGAGGGCGCCGAGGCGTTCTCCCACCACCTTCCCCCCTCCACTTCCCACCCTCCCCTCATCCTACTCCTTCAGGCGGAGGTTGCCGTGGCGGCTGCCGCCGACGGCGCTGGGTCCGCGGACGCGTTCGGCCACGCGCTGACGCCCGCGGACCTGGCGCCCGCTGGCAGCGTGGCTGCGCGGCGCAAGGCCCCTGGGGATGAATGAGAGGATGGATTGAGAGGAGGGGGAGGAGGAGAATGGGGATGCCGCCTTCACGGCTAGGGTGAGGAGGAGGATGGGGATGCAAGGTAGGATGAGGCGAGGAGAGATAGGAGGAGGAGGAGGAGGCGAGGGGAGGATAAGGTGAAGGGGGGAGAGGGAGGTGAGGGAAGGAGGAGGAGTGGAAGAGGCTGTAGCGGGGTTGCGGCGTCCGAGGCGGCGTGGCACCCGCTCGAGCATCTTCGGAAGCGGTTCCGAGATGCGTGGGGTCACCGCGTCGCTGCTGGTGGGCGTGAGCAGCCGCTGCCAGCCGCTGAGGCGGCGCTGGCTGCCGCCCGCGACGCGGTCGTCGACGAGGACGACTGGGCGCTCTTCGGGCCCAGCGACGCGGAGGAGCTGCTCGACGGGGACGCCGACGCCATCGCAGGCCCAGTCCCGCATGCCGACGCGGAGGTGGCCTTGGCAGCTGTGGCCCGCGCGCCAATGCTGGCGCCGGCGCGGGCCCAGGCTCGAGTGGAGGAGCTCGCGCAGCTCGTGGAGCAGACGTGCGCGATCGCGGAGGCGAACTCGCGCACGGAGCGGGACTTCGTCGCAGCGGCGCAGCGTGGTGTGGTGCAGTACTTCCTGGATGAGAAGCGCACGACGCTGCCATTCCACCAGGAATGCAGCAACCTCGGCGTTGGCCGCCGCCGCGCTGATGGCATCCTGCGCGCTGTTGCCGCCGCGTGCGTGTCGGTGCAGAATCGGGACGTGTGCAGGATGATTCGCCAGTTGACGCGGTCCATCTTGGAGCGAGGTGGCCGAGCACTGACATGGTCAGAGAGCGTCAGGTATGATGAGACGCCGATGCACATGAGGCTCACGGACACCGAGAAGGCGGCGGCAGCAGCAGCGGACTCGGCCATGCCAGCGGCCATCGTGCCCGCCGACGGACAGCCCAGGCTGGTGCCGATCAGCGCCAGCTGCTCGAGCTCGCACGTCGCCAAGATCTTGAACACTGAGCGGGTCTTCTCGATGCTGTACCACCTCCCCGACGTCGGGTACGTCGGCGTGCGCGTGCCGCTGGAGACGCCCGTCCAGTCGCTGAGCAGGACCACAGGCGAGGTGCTCTACGACGCGCTCAAGGCCAGCCGCCCGCCGATAGACGACGACGTGCTGCAGCAGTTCGGCCGACGACAGCGGCTGGTTTGCACGGACGGCGCGAGCGGGATCACCAGGATGGAGCGCAACTTCGCCCGTGAGGAGGCGGGTCGGAGCAGCGCGTTGAAGGTCGAGTGCGAGGTGCACGTGGTCTTCAAGTGGCACGCGTGCGCGTTCCACCACGTGAAGGCCGACACCAGCTGCATGGTGCACGCGGCGAAGGCGCTGCGCTGGCAGGACGGCATGCGCTCGTTCAGGGCAGCGCTCCGACAAGAGCTGCAGGACACGTTGCAGTACCGCTGCGACATGCGGCCTTCGCCTGTGGACGTCGCCCGCAGCACCAAGTGCTTGGACCTCTTCTTGTCGGAGACGTCGGCCCATCGGCGACTTCGTCGCGTCGTCATCCTCTCGCTGGCGAACGGGGACTGGGCCAAGAGGCATTGGGTTCACAAGCTCGCGGCGCACCCACCCCCATAGCGCCCCCCCGACCTCTAATGTGTAAAACGTGCGGTCTGCTCATAGCATGCAGCCGCCATTCTGGATGTCGGGTGTTCTATGTGTAGTTTTGGACGGCTTCCAGGCTCGACCGTGGCCTCGGGTGTTCGGGCGAGGGGTTTGGGCACCTGGGTCGCGGTAGCTGGGGGGGGGGGGTAGGGGGTGGGCGCGCCATGAGTTTTACCCAAGGGGCTGTGTGGAGCACTTTTGCGACGGCTGCTGCATGTCCCGTGCCGATTGCGCGTCGAAGTTCACGACGCTCTTCGTGGCGGCGGTCGCGGCAACAGATCCAAGGGTTTGGCCGAGTTCGAGGTGGACGGGCTTCGACCACAGCGTCGATTGGATGGGCGTCTTGGAGTCGTGCCACGGCTTGCTGACCCGCGTCTTCCTCAAGTGGTCGCGCGTGAAGGTTTTGTGTTTTTTTGTTGGGGGGGGGGTGCATTTGATGTTAAAACCGTGCCAGTTGCGACCGAGCCATCGTCTAGTTCAGCCTCGTGCACCCCCCTCCCCCGCGGGCAATGTCCTACCTGGGTTAGGGGGGGGGGGCAGCGCGAGGAGGAGAATGAAGGGAGGTTAGGCCAGCGTCGGACTGGAGGAGTGGGATGGGGGGGCAGTGAGGACGGCGTGAGGAGCGACGGCGACGACGGACGTGACGCCGAACATGATGACGGTATGGTGGTGGCGACTGCATCGGAAACTAGAAGTCACAGTAGGTGTTCGGGCTGGCCGCCCTCCCCAGTCGAACGCAAACCTCATCCGTTCCCGCCCAGTCCAGGGCTAGAGAGGGCCCTCGTGGGGCTCATGCGAAGGGGTGGCCGCTGGCACGTTTTTACTTGCACCCTCTTCGGCCTTCGAAGACCTACCAGCTCACGGACAGCAGCGCGCTCGAGGACGCGCTGCGCTTGGAGAACCAGCCAGGCGTTGACATGGCGGGCCATGCCGCAGGTGGCGGCGCACCAGCGGCCAGCTCGGAGCAGGAGCCCGAGCGCGCCCCCTGCGGCGGCGCCCGCAAGACCAGCGCCGACGAGGATCGCAAGAAGGAGGACTCGATCCATCGGTATTGGGGCGCCAGGTGGTTGCACCATGGCAACGCTGGCGCGAAGCTCACGGTGATCAGGAGGGTCCTGGAGCCGCTGAGAAAGATCATGTCCAAGTACTTGGACCACGCTGGCGTCAAGCACGACGACCGGATGGAGTACCTCAAGGTCCAGGCTGCGGCGGGGAGGTGCGGTGACTGCACCGACGAGCTGCTCCCAATGGTCGCCGCGTGCAAGCAGGTGTTCGAAGGCGAGTTCTTCCAGGACCTGAGGGCCCTCATCCTGACCGAGGGGCCGTGGGACATCATCACGCCTGGGCTCAGGACGCGTGACCTTCGCACGTTGGCGTTCGTGATGCTGGGCGAGATCGGCTGCCTCTGCCACGAGCTCACCGTCGTTCACTCCATGTACCCCTTCAAGATGTTCACGCTGCTGGGCGGGGGCGGGGGGGGCGCGGCCGACATCGAGAACGACTGCGACGACATGAAGGACGAGTGGAGCAAGGCGTTGATCGAGAAGTACGCGAAGACCGATCAGGGCTTGCTCAACCCAGACCTCAACGCTGAGCTGATGCACGCAGCCCTCAGCATCAGGCGTGAGACTTGCAGCATCGAGTCCAGCCACGCTGCCATCCGACGGAGCCTCGCCGCGCTGGGCGTGCAGACCCACCCGATGCACATCGGGCGCCTGTCAGCACTGAGGACATGCCAGCGGTTCCGCACGCGGCGGCAGCGGCTGCGCAGCGGGCCTGGGCGTCACGTGATCAGGACAACGGTGCAGCAGGCGGCCAGCAAGAAGTTTCCAGCCAGGAGGCGCTACCGCGGCTTCGGAGGCGCTTGGCGGGCCTTCGTTCGACAGCAGA